AAGCGTTACGTGAATATTATCGTCCAAAATTATTTGAATTATTAGAAAAAAGTAAAATTCCAGATGAAGACAATTTGTATGAATCAGCATTAGATAATGTTACTGAATATGGTTGGTTGCAAGGTTTACAAGAAGTTGAAGAGAGAATAATAGTGAGACATTTTAAAATATTACTGGCGAATATTCCTGTATCTAGCGATACATCTGGAAAGCAAGGTAAACTTGATTTCATTGAATACCTTATTTGTTTATCCCTTTAAAACGCAAATATCTTTACTGTAGAAAAAGTTTCTTCAAAAAAAGTTGACAATTCAGTTTTCATATGCGAGTTATTTTTGTATTGCACAATTCCAATTAACTATATGTGACATCATGATTTTTTGGACTAGGTGTACCTTCAGAGACTCGAAGAAAACTTTATTTTTATCCTCACATCTCAACATATATAGATATGTCATTTGACATATGTTGATCACAAACATGATAGTTGCATTGCATAAAACAATATTTCCTACGCAGTAATATCAGCGCAATAAGATCTCCCATGACGATATTCTTGAGATTTTTGAATCTTTGACTTACACTATAAAAGACAATTACTGTCAAAAAATAATAATTTTCATGAGTAACCGAAAATTTTGTGCATCGAATTTTAAAACGAAAATAAGTTTTTATTTTCCAAAAAGCGGCAACTTCTTCGACAACTTCGTCAAAGATTTTGGGAACCAAGGAGTCTGAGTTGGTGAGTTGATTCTACATATTTCACATTCTGATAGATTTTTTGTGTGAAACAATCTATAGAGGTTATGATTTCTCAATTTGGATATTCTCTGACCAAACTTTGTCAGTAGTCAGTATTTTGCAAGAAATGCTTTCTCTGTTGAAAAGTTCAGATCAGTTAAATCTTTATGGCACCTTACTTAAGATAGGACGACTTGTTTTCCTTAATAAGTAAACTGTGAACAATATAAGATCATATTCCTTCAATTAGATTTGCTTTTATTTTCTACTAAAATAATGGCTTTCTGATATCAAGATATGGCTATGTGAAAAATCAAGAACCATTGATCAATCAAGACGTGCTAAGGAAGAAAAGCTGAAGTTTTGGCTATAATTGACAGGTTTCCTCTTCACACGTCTTTTTATAAATTTTGGATAGGATCCGATGTGTGACGAAAAATTAATAGATTTTTTGGCGACACTTATTCGTTTTTCCCCATTGTTAGGTTTTAAACAATGTGGAAGTAATTGATTCTAATTAAGTATTTAATATTGAATAGAAAAATGTAATTTGATAGAGTTTTAAAATTAGTAAAGTTAACAGATCCTGTCCATTGCTGATTAATGTGAGCATACCCCTTGAGTGTAGGTGAAGTGATAATCTGTTTATGAGTACCACTGTTAGTCATTCTTAATGCTGGTTACAGGGTTCAAAAACCAAATAGTTGATAATGAATAGTGTCTGGCATAAAGGGTGGCCCAAAAGTCCTGACTCAATTTGTATAAAAAAATTTTCTTTAGTGAAACGCGTGGTTGAAAATTTGTCACTATGAAGAAAAGATGCAGTAAAAGATGCTCTACAAAATGACTAATGATTGATCCCGCTCACTCATCTAGTAAGAGAGATATAGGCTTAAAAATGCGGTTGACAAAAAAAATTAACCGTGTACATCATCTACATTGTGATGATTTGAGTAAAAGTCTCATAACTTCCTCAAAACAAAAGTTTTTTCGATCAGATTTGTTCTGTTTTGATCAGCAATGATTATTCTTCTATACCTAGCTGCAAGATCAAAGCTTCGATCATATTTTCCGTTTCCCGCTAAGTACACTGGCGAAAACGGAGTTGCCAATTTTTCACGTATTTTTGAAACTTGGTTCTCGAGTACTCCACCTACAATGAACATTTTTTTCTACAGACCACGAGAAAGAGCGCAATTGAAAGTACTACACACAAGCTGAGTTCTCACTTTTGCCACCCTTTTTCACGAAAATAATAGAAGCTGAAAAAGTCCAAATCGAAAAAAATACCAAATTTACAAAATTTTCCTTTTTTTTCGCCTTGTGCATCATTTGCTTAGTTTTCTTGATTGAAGTTTTGAAATTAAAGTTTAGGTATAGTTTTGTAGAAAATTTCACGGCGCTTCTATTGATGAAAGAATTTGTTCTAGGGGGCCTAAGGAACAGGCGTTAAATCACAAATGCCGAGACTGAGTACATGGTTAATTTTTTTTATGATACATATTTCTAACCCTATACCTTTCTTAATAGATGAGCTAGTAGGGTCAATCAGCAGTCATTTTGTAGAGTATCTTTACTGCTTCTTTTCTTCATAGAGACAAATTTTCAACCACGTGTTTCACTAAAGAAAATTTTTTATACAAAATCGAGTCAGGACTTCTGGATCACCATTTATAGGTTCATGACACGTTCGAATGACATCACAAATCTGAGAGAAAAGTCTCTAAGCTAGCAGTTACGTGCATACATCTTCATCAAACGAAAAAGGTGTACGTTATCTTTATTAAAAGAGCGAGAAATGCACCAGATTTGAAAACGTCTACTTACTTAACTCTACGAAAAATGATTGAACGAAAACTGATCGATAAATTCGTACTTAGAAAACAAAATGCTTTTTAAACTAAAACCTTCAACTTACCTGATTAAGCTAAACACATAGAAAAAAGTGTAGAGTGTGACTGGCAGCGAGTGGGTGTGGGTCTTCTATTCACCCACATCCGCCCCGAATAGTCTTATCATCCCCCATGTATAACACGAACGATTACTTATTTTTTAGTTCAACCCAAAGTGGAAGCTTCAAAATCAGTAAACGATCAATCATGTGTCATTGGTCAACGTACTCAGATCTCATGGAAATTCNGTGGGTCTGCTATTCACCCACATCCGCCCCGAATAGTCTTATCATCTCCCGTGTATAATACGAACAATTACTTATTTTTTAGTTCAACCCAAAGTGGAAGCTTCAAAATCAGTAAACGATCAATCATGTGTCATTGGTCAACGTACTCAGATCTCATGGAAATTCAGTGGCATTGAGAAACCACGAGCGGCATGGTTCTTCAATGGTCAAACACTTCCAATCAACGATCGCTTTGAAGTGACTGAGACTAATGACGGAACATCGACCCTATCGATTCGTCAAGCTGAACTTGCCGATCAAGGTGTCTATACTGCTCGAGCAACCAATGCTTTTGGTGAAGCTGAAGCTAAAACAACGTTGAACATTGCTTGCATCAAACCTGTCATCAACGCTGATCTCAATGCTGCACTGCAAGCCACAAAAGGTGAATCCATGATACTCAAAATCAGTATCAGTGGAACACCGAAACCTGACATTGTCTGGATGAGAGACAACAATAAACTCACATCCAATGATCATATTCAAGTGATACCACCGACTGGTGATGATGAAATATACACACTGACCATCTTGAATATACAACCAGAAGACCAAGGAGAATATTCAGCTGCGGTCTCTAATATTGGTGAATCGCTGAAATCCAAAAAGTGCAAAGTCACTGTTTCGAGTAAGTCGTCTTGAATTTTCTTCTCTTTGAATACATGTACCCTTGTAGAATCGCCAGAGTTTATTGTCAAGCCGACGGCACAAAAAGTAAAACAAGGTGAGACAGCATTGTTCAAGGCACAGATCGATGGATGTCCACCACCAAAGATCAGTTGGCTTCTGAATGGCAAAGAGCTGATAGCAAAAGAAGGTATCCAAGTGCAGTTCAATACTGCTACTGATGAAGCCAACTTGTCTATTTGTAACGTCAATCTACAACATGCTGGTTTAATTATTTGTCGTCTCGAGAATCCACATGGCTATCAAGAAGAAACAATTCAATTCACTGTTCTTGCTGCACCGACAATCACCACAGATTTGCCAAAACAACAAGAAACTGCAAGTGGACAAGATGTTACATTGAAACTGGTCGTGCTAGGCTCACCACAACCATCTGCTGAATGGTTCTTCAAAGATAGACCCATTGGAACGGACAACGCATCAATAGACGAGGCGAAGAGTGAATATCAACTGTTGATCAAACAGACAACAGTGGCACAGAATGAAGGAGCTTACCAAGTCGTGTTGAAGAATGAAGTTGGTGAAATACAATCGACTCCATGTCTACTTACAGTACTGGAGCCAGTAAAATTGACAAGAGTGAAACCAGCATCGAATGTCATTGACTTGGAAGAAGGTAAATCATTTGACATCGTCGTGGATGTCAGTGGCAAGGAAACACCCGAAGTTCAGCTGACAAAAGATGGAACAGCGGTGCAGTTCACAAGCAGGGAGAGAATACGATACATATTCTCAGTGGCTAGTGTAAAGCGAGAACATCAAGGTGTGTACAAGGTGACAGCAAAGAATAAGACCTCAAAAAAGGAAGAAACAACTGTCACCCTGAAGGTTACGGGTAAGTTTGCTTTCATTTCCTAACTAAATGTCACAGTATACACTTTATGTACACTCTCATGAGATGGGAACTTCTCAATTATCCTTGGTTGGTATTGCGTAGCTAGATCGGGGATAAGTTTGTCATACGTGTGAAAACTTTCAGTTGCAATGTAATGTCGAGCGAAATTCTGCTACTGCTATCTTTATCATTCATATTCATGCGTAACACATTCCTCCTAAAGTTTATTATTTGTGAGTTGTATTCGATTAATATAACTAACACAACGATGTTTGAAAGATTCTTCCAAATATGATGCGGTTCGATAATGTGTCTTTCATTTGTTTTGAAAAGTTCAAATTTTCTCTAGCAATGAAAGTTTTTGTACTGTTAGTAAAAAATACTACACATATTCGGACCCAATTGAAGCTCTCATTGCTAAACTAATAAATTTAAAATATGAGCTGCTCATGGTATGAACTGAGCGAGAGGATGGATTTTTAAGTAATTATTTCCCGTATGTGAAAGAGTTTTACCTGACAAACTTTTAGCATTATTATTTTTTCGTGATGATTGGATGAGGTGGCGATGTAGGCATCAGTGTGTGTGAGTATTGGTTTGGACCGGTCTTCTCTCCGCCTCACATACTCTAGTTTTTCTGTGATTGAGAAAGCAATGATTACCTAGAAAATAGTAAGTGCTGATCTTTGGTTCGCTTTACGCTATCACAAAGGTTGGAAGAGCTAGTGATAATTTCTAAACTGATACTCTTTATGACGTATCCAAAAAAAGACTTATTGGAAAAAGCTATTATTTTTCTGCTCCAAAGTTCTTGACAATATTTTACTCTCTCGGAAAGGAGAAAAGAAAAGTTCCGCCCAGGGACGCATGTCAGAGTCTATATCACTCATTATCTTTATAAATTTATCTAGTCTTGCATGAGAAGAGTTCGGACTGAGTGTCGTATCTCATTAAAATCATTGACTTTTGAGTATCGAATGCACCAATGTAGCTTTTCTTTCGACTTAGTTTGATTATTGAGAGACTTGTTTTTTAAATTTCAATGATAACACCACATACATCTTTCAAAAAGTGCGTTAGTATTTCGCACTCCTTTTTCGCCATAACTGAATTTCAGATCAAAATCAATAGTATATTCGAAATCAACACAAAAAGCTTATTGCATATCTTATACATATCAGTTAAATTTTTTTCATCAAAAATGTATCTGAGGATGTGCGTAGTTTCAATTAACTGACCATTGACGTTACTAAATTAGTGTAGTTAGCGAACACTGACACTAGTATCAGTGTTCACTGAAACACTCGAAGACACCACTACAAATAGGGCATGTTTTGATAGAGTTGGTGACACTATATTGCAGCAAATGTGGATGTCAGTGAAATTTATATTCCAGTGCATCCTGTGTCGGTAACCGACTGTCAGTATTTCAGTATTTACACGGAAACTGCACATCGGTAAATGCACCTTTCCATGCTTCACAAGGTTACCTAATTTTACTGCTGCCATCAGAAAAATGCCCTTTTACAGACTTAAACAAAATAGAGAACAATTCAATGAGTATTTTTATAGATCGTGATAGGCCGATTCTAAGAAAATGAGACATTAGGTCTTATTTTTTCTCACAAAAAGAATCTTCTAAAGCTAATTCAAAACGTACAATGGTGGTAGTACTGTAGAGCGTATGTGAGAGTGAAAAGGAAATTTGACACCTTCATATGAAGCCCTCATATACTCTGGCACCTGCACTCTCATGCGTTTCATTTACACCCGCATCCAAACCCTGAAAGAAGCCTCTGTTTCTTTTGTTACAACCGATGGCATCCGTTTATACTCAGAGTAATTAACCAAACAGTAAAAGCATATTGAAATTCTGGAAATATCTTCACCATCAAAAAGGTCAGACGATAATCGATCTAGGAAACGGATATTCATAAAATATTTCATACTTGTTAGGCTTTCACTGCTGAAACCAGTGCTATAGCAAATAAAGGTAGGATATCGTTGAATTTAGTCTAGAAACTGAGCATTATTAGTGATGACGAGAGCTATGTGAATAAAACCACTGCCGTTTTTCAGATGTATTGCGCTTACTAGAGAGACTTCCAGATGATATGATTACTTTTCGATGAATTCCTCTCACTTGTCTATAGCTCGTGCACGTGAAATTATTCGCTTTTGGTGGATAAACTTTATAATTTATTTATGGACTGAAAGTGTGAGTCACTTATCAGAATGAGATTTCCATTCACTTTACATTTTGTCATGACATCACAGCAAAAGCATATGTACAGTTTTTAAATAAAGGAGAATGTAAGGATTCTGTCTTTTAAGGAAATTTCGTGTTCTCACATTATCTTGAGTAGAGAATACAGCTCGATTCGTTGAATTCTCGCACAACTGGAAGAGCAGTTTTTCAAAATGGCTTTTAAAAGTATATGAAACTACTAGAAGCTCATTATCTGATTGAACATTAAGTAAAAATTAGAAATAAAATATGATTTTGTGATCATCTAGCATTATTCGGGAACGAATAAGCTAATTGTTTTGGTTCACTTTGTGGAGGGTACCAATTTAGGTATGATCGTTTTCTCATCGAACGACGACTATACATTTAAGAGTTTTTGGAAGGTGACAAGCAACAGAAGTTTTTAAGTCTTACCCCATTTCGAAACATGTTTTTGGGTTTTTTGAAAAAACAATCACCTTGTTCTAGACGATTGGTAATGCTTAACCAGCAATATCACGTGGTGGTTAGCTTTTCTCAAGTCGTTTAAACATAACAAGTGTTGTAACTTATACTAACGTTTTGGATTGTGCAGCAAAAGAGGATTAAACAAAAGAATCTATGATTAGAAATCAACATACCTAAAACAAGTCAACGATATAGTCTCGTAGCTGCCTTGGTTAAGACAACTTATATTCTCATGCTATATGTATAAGTGTACATAGATTTTCCTCGTTGGTTGGAATCAATCAACTTCAATTCTATAT